GGCTATAGAAGAAAGAAAGACACTGATTTTTTTTTTTTAACGAAGTGCACGTGTGTGTGTGTGCGTGTGTGTGTGTGTGTGTGTGCGCGCGTGTGTGTGTGTGCGTGTGTGTGTGTGTGTGCGTGTGTGTGTGTGTGTGTGTGTGTGTGTGTGTGTGTGATCTGAAAATAGTCTCTTGGTGCTTCCTGGGATCCCACAGAGGCTCTGGTTCTAGCCCCTTCTCGTAGCTCTGTAGGGAGGAGGACAGGGTGGGAGGTGTTAGTTAGCAATCTGCAGTGTGCATAATAAATGCATGGATTTGCTTCAACATTTCTGTGGCTGCCTTCCTAGCACTAGTGTTATTTCTGGTTACAAAGCACTTTAGATTTTACTTATGCTAGTATATAAAGTCCTGCTACATGGAGACGTGTCAGGCGGGTAGAGCTGTCCCTGCAGGTTGTAACAACCAGAAAAGGTCTCTGCCAGCTCCTGTGAGCACAGCCAGCCCTGCTGAGGGGATTGAGGATGTGAAGTGGGTTTCTTCTTGACAGGATCCGGCCACTCAGCCCTTTGTCTGCGTGGCATCAACAGGAGAGACTACCTAGTAAACCGGATTTTCTGTCTACTCATGTTTCATGTATCTGGCCAACAGGACAGAAGGAAGAAAAATTGGTTCATTCTTCTTCTCAAAAATCTACCAGGTCCCTGTGCCATCTCTTGGTACCATGCAGGGGACCTGGCCGCTTTGCCAAGGGTCAGAATGATCTGTAATTGCTTCCTGGGTTGCCACCTCATGCACTTTTGCTTTTATGGCCAGACTCTGGGGCCTCAGCCCAAAGGAGGGTGATGGATGATAGACTTAATTGAGTCCCTTTAGCTAGAAGGGCTTCTCAATAATATAAAGTCCTTCATTTAGGACAAGCCAAACCGAGTTAGTTAATCATTATACTCTTTAACTGAGAACTAAATGGAGAAATGGTTCTTTTCTGGTATAGTAATAGTGTGTGTGTGTGTGTGTGTGTGTGTGTGTGTGTGTGTGTGTGTGTGTGTGTGTCTTTGTCTGTGTGTCTGTGTCTGTGTGTATGTGCATATACCAGTACCGAGTTTGAACTCAGGGCCTCGTGCTCTCGGCTTTTCCATACAAAGCTGGTATAGTACCACTTGAGCCATACCTCCACTTCTGGCTTTGATTTTTCTGGATAACTGGAATGAAGTGGCCTCATATTTGTCTGCCCAAGCTGGCTTCAAACTTTAATCTTCACATCTCAGCCTCCTGAGAAGAAAGGATTATAAAGGTGTGAGCCAGCAGCGCCCAGGTCCTCCTGATCCCTTATTTCAGAATGCAGACACCAGCCCTGGGCCACCATTAAGCTACTTTCTACCTCCACAGCATTACCTGCTCTCCCATTCATGTCAATGGAAGCATACAGTGTGTGATCTTTCATGTCTGGCTTCCTACTACCTTTTAGATTTTAAACTCACTGTAATACCCTTCTTCCTTTCTTGAAATAAAATTCATAGGCAATGTGAACTACTTACATACATGATTTAAAAAACAATATACCTTGTAATAAAAATAATATTTTAACTACTAGAGCATGTCTTCAGTAGAATATTTTATAGTTTGAAGGAGAAAGCAAGCCAACTTTCCCAGGCAGAGACACCTCATGCTTTGCTGTCATATCAAATATAATAAGTAATATTTGCACTGATGACCCAGTTGTCCCAAAGCTGATCAGGTTCTTGATAAAGTTCCACATAAACTAAAATTTAATCTTCCCTCAGAGTACACTAATGGTAAGAGTCTTGGGAACTCCATTGTAGATTGAAACCTTGTTAACAATATTTGTGTTCCCATGCGCCAGTGGCTCATGCCTGTAATACTAGCTACTCAAGAGGCTGAGATCTGAGGATCATAGTTCAAAACCAACCTGGGCAGGAAAGTTTAAGATTCTACTCTCCAATTCACCACCAAAGAGCTGGAAGTGGAACTATGTATGTCTCAGGTGGTAAAGCTCTACCACCTGGACAAGAAAGTTAAGGGACAGTGCCTATACTGTGAGTTCAAGCCCCAGTACCAGCCTGTCCCCTGATTTAAAAATACAACTCAGTAACCTAACTTCTTCCCACTAGGCTCCGCCTCCTAAAGATTCCATTACTTCGTCATAGTGCCAGAGGTTGGGTATCAAGACTATGAGGAGTATTCAAGGTCTAGACTAGGGCATGATCCAATATGATTCAATGGACAATGGTTTTCAAAGCTTTTTTGCATATGATGAAATTTCTGTTGTGTGGCTGTTTTCCTTACTGATAGAGCTGGGCACACCATAGGTCCACCAGCCTGAATTCGGCAATGGCTGAGACAAGACTCAACATTCTGACAGTGCTTTTCTTTCCTTGAACTTGCAAACCTTAGCTCTGTTTTCATTCCTTTTTTCAAGAGCCGTTGTTACAATCCATTTGTTATTTGACATTTGCCCATCAGAAGCAATGCCTAGGCACTATTTTATAAATGAAATGGACACATCATCCTAATTCTTAAAAACATCCTTCAAACATAGGAGGCAAAATACAAAGAAAGTCAAAGGAACTCATGAGCTTCCAGGAAATTAAATTGGGTCAAATGACAGTTACCGAATCAGTCTTCACTTTACAGTTTGGTTTCCTGTCTCGAAGGGTTTTACACATTTGAGGGTGCAGCAAGTTTAGTCATTTCTCCCTGTAATGTTTTGTTGATGTTGATGGTAAAGGAAAGGGCAAAACTAAAGAAATGCTTTGCAAGCAGCTTCTAAGAATTCCCTGGGATGCAGTAGTATTGGCACATTTTTCAACTTTCCAGATAATAGACAACTGGGTATGGTTTTACAGGTTCAGGAGAGGGAGGGGCAAGCTGGAAGAGAGCCAGTCTCCAAAAGTCTCTTTCCTGGTAATAAGGGAATGATGAAAAGGTTAAATTTCAAAGTCTGATTAGAAATCCCCCCCCCTTTGGAACTCACAGCCTGTGGATTTGGCCTGCTGTGCCCAGAGAGAGGTTGCTGGTTTTAACCCAGACACGGCCCCTCCTAGGGTGACACTGCTAGGAATTAACCAGTAACTCAGGGCATGGAAAGAAAGCATTAGGATGTGGGAACTCCTAAAGTGATCTGGCTGGCTAATCCAAATTGTTTTCAAATTATCCTCCTGCATTCAGCACTATGGAGGATCAATACAGTCACGGTGAGACAAGAAATCTCATGATTAAAGCTGTGATGGACAAACGTATGCAAAAACACAGAGCAGGGCTGTGCTGAGTTCACTGTGCACATAGCACCTGGCCAGCTTCAAGGGTGGAAGCGCTACTATCTGTAACAGAATCTACACACCTGGAGATGCCTTTGAGTTCCTGCATTAGAACACGCCGCAGTGCTGAGCTTGGTGGTGTGTGTCTATAATCGCAGCTACTCGGGAGACTGAGGCAGGAGAATCTTCAGAACATAGTGAGAGACCCCCATCTCTAAATCTGTAAATGAAACAGTCCAGTGCAGTCCAGTGCTCAGGCCATGAAAGGAGTTGCAAAGGTAAAGACATGACCCTTTTCTCCTTCATCAACCATGGATGGCCCTGCAACTCTCTTAGAAACAATAAATGCTTTGCTGAGAGAATGCGCTGTTCATGTTTGAATGAATGGTACTATTTGGGGCGGGGGAGAGGGGAGTATGACATTAAATACTGAGTTTTTAACATAGTTTGTTTATTTTAGAGAAGGGAAGTCAGTTCTTCATTAATGGCCTCATGGTAAATTCATTTGAACAGCTGGCTCACAACTGTAATCCTAGTCTATTCAATAGACTGAGATCTGAAGATCATGGATCCATGGAAAATCTGTGAGAACCTAATCTCCAATTAACCAGCAAAAATCTGGAAATGGAGGTGTGGCTCAAGTGGTAGCCTTGAACAATAAAGCTAAGGGACAGTTCCTGGGTTCAACTCCAGCATGGGCAGGCAGGCAGGCAGGCAGGCAGGCAGGCAGGCATGTGTATATGTGCATGCGTGTGCGCACGCGCACGCACACACACACACATACACACACACACACACACACACACACACACACACAGATTCGTTTGAGCAAATTTTAGTCTTTCTTATAGGTTTGGAAACAGCCCTGCAGTTTATTTTCCCAATGTTCCTGATTTCTAAATGCAGTTCAATTAAACCTGGTATATTCTTTGGTTGTGAGGAGTTCCCGTGATGTTTATTGGCAGCTCAAGCAGATCTGCATAGAAGCATTTACTTTGGGGTCCACCCTCTTTAATGCAAGGCCAACCTAGTGTGAGGGAAGCATCCCGTGATCATTTAAAGCCCAATCTCAGAGGCCCAACTTCCTGAATCCTGATTCCAGCTCCTCCACATGCACTGTCCTCAGTTTACCCATCTGTACAGTGGGTCCACAGTCTTCATGTGTTGTTGAACGAAGACAGTTCATTCCTGTCAGCTCCTGGGAATAGTGCCTGACACCTCTATGAAGAGTATGTGTAGGTAACACAGCTGCTTAACATACATAACAGATGTGAGAATATCCTATTTTCATTGACCAGAGATTCTGTCTATAGAATCAAAAAAAAAAAAAATCTCAAGCTGGGAGCCAGTGACTCACAACTGTAATCTGCTACTCAGAAGGCTGAGATCTGAGGATTATGGTTCAAAGCCAGCCTATGCAGAAAAGTCTCCATGAGACTCTTCTCTCCAATTAACCACTAGAAGTGGAGCTGTGGCTCAACATGGTAGAGCGCTAGCCTTGGGCAAAAAGAGGCTCAGGGACAGTGCCTGGGCCCTGAGTTCAAGCCCTATAACCAACAACAATGACAACAACAACAAAATTCTCTTTTTTCCCAACTAAAGCATCATCTTACAAGACTTCTTAGTAAGTGGGAGAGAAAGGAAGTCAGCAACAAACTGGGTAGCCCCAAGGAAATCTAGCGCATTGAGACTCCCTTGCTTTCCTTACTTGGCTGGACTGACCTCTGCTGGTGGCTTTACAGCTGGTGATGTATGTCGGCCAGGTGGCCAAGAGCATCCTGAAGTGGCCTCGACCCGCCTCGCCTCCTGTTGTACAACTAGAAAAGAGAATTGTGGCAGAATTCGGAATGCCATCCACCCATGCCATGGCGGCCACCGCCATCTCCTTCACCTTCCTCATCACTACCATGGACAGATACCAGGTAAGGGGGTCCTTCCTTCTGGGAGGGGGGCTACTACCCGGTCCCAGGATGGCAAACAGAGCTACAGCTCAGAAATGGTTCCAAAAGCTGCTCCAAGGAATGTGAAGGTTTATAAAGGAAAGACTCACAGGGGCCTAAATCCCACTGATCACAGTTTCCTCAGAAATGCAGCAATCCAGCCAGGTACTGTGTCTCATGCCTGTAATCCTAGCTACTCAGGAGGCTGAGATCTAAGAGACTTTTATCTCCCAACTAATCAGAAAAAACTGGAAGCAGAGCTGGGCTGAAATGATAGAGTTTGAAAGCCTATACCAGAGCACAAGGTTTTGAAGTTCAAGCTCCAGCACTGGCACTACATAGTAAATAAACAACTATGCAAGCATGTCATTTGTTGTACCTGAGTGGGAATGGCCATCCGTAGCATCACAGGATGAGACACACACTCAGGTGGTCCCAGGAGCCTGGGGCGTGGTCCCCTCCTGGGAAAAATGTACCGCAGCTACCACCTGGACAGACAGAAGTCAAAACTTGTCCTGCTTTGCAAGCCGCACCAAGGGTTTCTGAGCTGAGGCCTAGAAACGACCAAGCTTCCTTGATTCCATTCAGTCTCTGCCAGACTCCCCACGCCCAAGGCAGAAAAGACCGTGCTCCAAATTACCTTCCCACAATGCCTCTGCCCGAGATAGGGGATCAACTGAAAAATGAGGATTCCTTTATTTTTGTCTCAGAACTATCTCAATGTCGGAGGATCAATAAATGCTGAAAATAGAAGTATTTTGCTGTATCCTTGCTTAGATGCAAACTAGAGTAAAATCTTTTTAAAAAGTTATTACTAAAATAAAGCTCTGCTTTATTTAGTTATTTATTCTGTTGAGTTTGATCCCAGATCACACTTACTAGGCAGGCACTGTACCGTTTGAGCCATGCCCCTGGTCTCTTTTGCTTTGGTTATATTTCAAATAGGGTCTCATAGGTAAGCCCAGGCCTGTCTGGACCCAAATCCTCCAATTTATGTTCCTAAGGAGCCGGGATGACAGGTGTCTACCACTGTGCCCAGCTTTATTGATTGAGATGGCGGGGATGGCTCATAATTTGTTTTTGTCCAAGTTACTATCCTAAGAGTTATAATCCTAAGTCTGAAAGCCAAGTTCTGTGTGTTAATTTATATTGCAACCAGAGAAACTTCTTCCCAGTACTGTATTCCTCTCCATCCTCTCCCTACCTCTTTCTTCTTCTTTTTGTCTACTTTTAAAATATTTTCAGGTTGATCAGATTGTTGGTGTAGGATGTCTAAACTAGTGATTCTGGCTCAGTGAATTCTCAACTAGGACCTCAATTCATACCCATGTGCAGGTGATCTCATGATCTTTTTTCTTTCTTCTTCCCAGTACCCTTTCCTTTTGGGACTGATGACGGCTGTGCTGGTCTCCACCTTGGTGTGTCTCAGCAGAATCTACACAGGGATGCACACGGTCCTGGTAAGATGAGAGAGGGGAAGATCTCTGAGTAACATTGGATTGGTGTGTGACTCCTTTTATAAATGTATTTGCCAGCTGGTACAGTTGCAGACACCTGTAATCCTGGCTACTTAATGAGTGGAGACAGAGGGGAATAGAGATTTCAGGGTCTATCTGGGCTACACAGCCAAGACTCTGTCTCAAAAATTTTGTTTGTGTATTTAATTAGAGTTTTCCTCAGGTCACTGAGTTAAGCAGTTATTACATTAGGGTGCATGCATAATAATAGTGATGAAATAGTAAAGAAAAGCACCATGTGTTCCTGTATTGCTAATAACTCAGTGAGTGGAGGTTGAAAGTTTGAGGCCACTGTTTTTGGAGGCTCTGACCAGGAGAGACAGAAGGAAGGCCCCACAGCCACCCTCACCACCTCGTCCTAATCTACTGTTGGCGCCCAGGCTTTCCTGCACACACACAATTGTCTCTCATAAAGATCTTGGAGCCTGGTGCCTGTAGCTCATGTCTGTAATCCTAGCTTCTCAGGAGGCTGAGATCTGAGCACTGTAGTTTGAAGCCAGCCCAGGCAGGAAAGTCCATGAGACTCTTACCTCCAATTTACCAACCGCCAAAAAGCCGGAAGTGGAGCTGTGGCTCAAGTGGTAGAGCTCCAGCTTCGATCGAAAAAGCTCAGGAACACGGGGCTGAGAAGGTGGCTCAGTAGTAGAGTGCTTGCCTCGCATGCATGAGGCCCTGGGTTCAATTCCTCAGCACCACATAAACAGAAAAAGCTGGAAGTGGCACTGTGGCTCAAGTGGTAGAGCGCTAGCCTTGAGCTGAAGAGCTGAGGGACAGTGCCCAGGCCCAGAGTTCAGGCCCCACGACTGACAAAAAGAAAAAAAGAAAAAAGAAAAAGCTCAGGAACAGTGTCTAAGCCTTCAGTCCAAGCCCCAGTCCCAGCACACACACACACACACACACACACACACACACACCTCTTGGTGGTCATGATTCAGGGTAGAGCCAGCCTGGCTGGAGATATACTGGTCCATGATTTCCAGTGGCAGAGAAGATGGTTGCTTGCCACAAGTGGTAGAGGGTAATTTCCTCAGTTACTCATCTCCTCTGTTCAGTAGCAGCTTAGTCATCTCCTGTGGGGCCAGGCTGGCAGCCAGACCTGGAAGATGATAATGGAGGGAAGCAAGCGCATCCCGTCCTGGGTGTCCATGCCGTGGGTGGAGGCAGGGAGCCACTGAGAATTTTATGTGCTGAATGCTATGAGTAGGGAATGGCTGGACTGAGCCAAGTTAGGTGACCCGTCTCCTCCCACACTCTCCAGTCTCCAGGGAGCCACCGCCACTTAGAATGCTATCAGCCTATTCAAATCCCATGGGACTCACCTAGAAATACCTCTGGAGGTATTTGCAGACCCCGAGTTCATAGCAGCCTTGCACACACCAGCCAAAAATAGAAGCAACCCAAGCACATATCCATGAATGAATGAATGGTGAGCAACATGTAACAGATGAGGACAAGGGAATATTATTCGGCCTTTAAAAAGGAAGGGCATTATGATGCATATCACAACATAAATACATATTGATATACTGTTAGGTGAAATAGGTCTGTCATGAAATGGCAAATGTTGGATTCATCTCTTTGCATAACGAATCTTGAGGAGTCATATTAAGAGACAGAAAGCTAGCTGGGTGCCAGTGGCTCACGCCTGTAATCCTAACTACTCAGGAGGCTGAGATCTGAGGATTGTGGTTCAAAGCCAACCAGGACAGGAAAGTCCTTGTGAGACTCTTATCTCCAATGAACTAACAGAAAACTCGAAGTGGCACTGTGGCTCAAATGGTAGAGTGCTTGCCTTGAGCTGAAGAATTCAGGGATAGCACCCAGGCCCAGAGTTCAAGCTCGACATCAACAGAGAGAGAGAGAGAGAGAGAGAGAGAGAGAGAGAGGTGTTAATGGTGACAGCCAGGGGTGAGGGGAAGGAGGGCTTGAGGAGCTGTTGAATGAGGAGAGGGGCTCAGTTTTACAAGATGGAAAGAGCTCTGGGGATGGGTGGAGTGAGGATGCCGGAGTAATATGGACATATTAACACCACTGAACTGTCTACTTAAAAATGAGTAACAGCCTGAATGTTAGGAGTGGGGGCCCATACCTGTAATCACAGCATTCAGGAGGCTGAAGCAGAAAGATTAAGAGTTTAAAGGTCAGGCTGGGCTACATAATGAGTCCCGGGCCAGCTGGGACCACAGAACAAGAAACTATTTCATCTAGGCACCAGTGGATCACACCTGTAATCCTAGCTACTCAGGAGGCTGAAAAAGGATGATCACAGTTCAAAGCCAGCCCTGGCAGGAAAGTCTGTGAGACTCTTATCTCCAATTAACCACCAGAAAACCGGAAGTGGCGCTGTGGTTCAAGTGGTAGGGTACTAGCCTTGAGCTGAAGAGCTGAGGGACAGTGCCAGGCCCAGAGTTCAAGCCCCACAACCACCACTACCAACAAAAACTTTGTGTATTTATCTATTTGTAGTATTATGCATATATATTATATTAATCAGGAGATTAAATTCATATATATATAAATTCACACCCACATAAGTTCACACAAATATGTGAATATATATTTGAATTCCTATACATATGAATATTCATATTCATGCAAGATATATGATATACATGTGCATACATATATACACATAGACATATCTATGAATAGATATGCATGTGAGCTATATATACTTACATGTATATATGAACATATGTGTGTAACACATGCACATGTGTGTGTGTATATGTGTGAATTTAAGCTCCAGAAGCAAACCCCGCTCTATAGCTAGTGTAGACAGCTCCCTGGTTGATCTAGTGAGCAGCTAGGGCTGAGTGTTGTCGGTTGCATTGATGGAATAATCCTTTTGCGTGGGGTGCTGGCACACGGCTGAGCTTTCACGCCTGCGTGGAAGGTGTGGGCAGGTGTGTCAGGCGTCCCTGGGGCGAGGTCATGGACTCCACTGACCCCTGACTGCACGCGATGCTCAGGCCCACGGGCCAGCCCAGGACAGCTGCTGTGTTAGAGCTGCTGTTCTCTGCAGGCTGTGCTCGGCCCCAGCAGACTGAGCTTGGGGCGCACTGGCTCTGCCTAGCTGTGTCACCGTCCTGGCCAATCGCACTGGGGAAAGCCTCGGGGGAAGGCCTCTCCATCATCAGCGCCCACACAGGACGCATGGGCCGGGCCAGCCCGCAGCGCTGTCAGCCTGCCAGCCACCACGCTGAGTCACTCTTGGCTCCTCAATAGCTCCAAGCTGTTCTCACACGAGCACCAGGAGATGGCTTCTGAGGGTGCAGTTTCACGCGTGGAGGGGTCGCCCTGAGCTCTGGCTGGGTTAGAACTCACCTCTGGAAGATCTCAGTGCTGTTATTCCAAACATGGAAATCAACAGAAGCGGAGCGCGGCCAGGTGGGGTGGTACATGCTTGCAACCCCTATGTTTAGGAAAGCCAGGCAGTAGGATCACACGTTTGAGGCGAGCCTAGGCTACTTAGCAAAACTCTATCTCAAAAGATTTTGAGATCTGAGGTTCATGGTTTGAAGCCAGCCTAGGCAGGAAAGTCTGTGAAACTCTTATCTCCAAAGAACCATAGAAAAGGCTGGACGTGGAGCTGTGGCTCAATTGAAGTAGGAGAGTGCTAGCCTTGAGCGAAAGGAGCTCAGCACAGCACCCAGACCCAGAGTTCAAGCCCTGGAACTGGCACAAAATAAAAAATAAAAAGTAAGAATAAACATTTAAATAATAAAGCTAAGCTAGGTGCCAGTGGCTTATGCCTGTAATCTTAGCTAATCAGGAAGCTGAGAGCTAAGGATCTACTTCAAAGGCAGCCTGTGCAGGAAAGTTGTGAGACTCTTATCTCCAATTAACCAGCAAAAAACCAAACAACAATAACCCAAAAGCCAAAAGTGGAGCAAGTGTTGAAGCACCAATCAGCTTTGAGCAAAGAAGCTAAGGGGCAGTCCTCAAGCCCTTAGTTCAGGACCTAGGACCCACACAAAGATTATTATCATTAGTAGTAGTAGTAGTAATAAAGCAGATTGCAACACACCTGGGACTACCTTGGTTCTTGGGCTGACATTTAGGGGAAAACAAAGTTCTATATTGCTTTAGCTAGGTTTTATTAAGACATTAATTTCCGACAGTGAAAGCATTCAGAGACTGCAATGGCTTGCAGAATCAATTTGTTTTAATTCTTTGGTGTACAATTTCATGTTCTCTTGGCTTGAAGAAGCCAAGTGGGTGAAGGGAGGAGAGAGGGGAGGGGTAAAGGAGGGGAGGGCTGAGGGAGGGGAGAAGCAGGAGGAGGAAAGGAAGGACCATCTTGGAGAGGCTGGTCAAGGAGTTCACATGGCTCTGTCTCAGGAAGGTGTCTTTCTTTGAGACTATGCCATCATTCGGGGGGGGCAAACAAGATAGTCCGTGCAGGCAGTGGATGAGAAGCAGACCTGTCTGCCCCGTCATGTGCCTCCTGATTTTAGGGCCTCGCGTGGCCCAAGGTGCCAGCAGCTTTGCTGTGGCCTGGCCCCCGTGGCCTGGTTCCCAGCAGCCCTCTCAGAACAGAACTCCAGCACGTGGAGATGAGGCTTTCGTTAGACTCCCGCTAGCCTGGGGTCAAGGGACTTTGGCAGGGGGACAGGCCAAAGAGAAGAAATGGAATCCTGGGAGCCACCCTGGGGAGCTACAAAGATGGTGCAGAGAACAGGGACTGGAAAGAGTCCAGTCAGTTCACCCACTTACCAAGCGGTCACCCTCTGCCCTGGTCAGTCTTCTTGCAGGCAAACAGCAGACGCCAGCTAACGTGAAAGGGAGGTGCCTTGGTTTTCACAAGCGTGCGGTCGTGGTACAGGAACCCATTGGGAGAGCGGACCCCGAGGTTGTGATCTTCACTAGACGTCCATCCACACTCTCACACACTCCTCTTTCCAGAGCTCGCCTCTGCGCGTCTCCATGGTAGATGCTCG